TATATATACTTGGAAGGAATCAAGAATAAGGATTTTTTTACATTTTCTGGAAGTTTTCCCGTATTCTTGGGGACAGATGAATGGCAGAATGGTGTATAGAGTTAGCTTGCGTGAAGGTGTCTGAAAATAACTTTCGAGTAACCACTGCGTCACATACTTCAACAAAATGTGCATTTGTAGACAAAATAATAATTTTCTGTAGACAACTCCTCACAAGAAGGTAATAAAATAAAAGATTAAATATATTTCTCGCCAATTAATAACGCGAAAATAACACCGTTACAATTTTTTTTTTACATACGGTGTTTAAATTAGCTAATTCTCAGTTGATTTGATTTTAGTGGATTTGTCTTAACCAATGGGCTTATTCGACTGATTCATTTCGTTGAGTGCGAATTTTCGTTGAGTATTATTTTCATTCGACTGGTTCGTAAAAATAGGCTTCGTTGACAACGAAAATTAACGCAACCAGAATGCGTTAATCAGCGTTTTTATGCACGTAACCAAAAAAAATATGGCCGATTGGTCAGTTTAGCAACAACATTTGCGTTAATATAATTTAGATTAAATTTCAGAAAATAAAAATAATATTTACCCACATGGAAGTCAAAAAATAATTGTAGGTTAACAGAATTCAAAAACTGGATGAAAACATTTTTTTTACGAAAAACCCATAGTGTCACAATCTGAAGCAGCCTTGATTACGTAGCTTGTATCGCGGCAACTATGCAGCCATTTTGTTTTGTCGAGTATTTACCAGTTTTTTATTCGACTGGTCTTTGTTAAGTAGGATTTTACCACTGTGCCGGTGGGTGTGGTTTAACGAAGAACGACCAGTCGAATACGGCCAATGTTTGTTTGTATTTGAAGTAATTAACTAACTCATTTGATCATAATAGATAATGAGAGATAACAATGTTTCAAAACGGTTTCTCCCAGATTCAGAAAATAACTTATATATTTTTGATGGATTTAATTACAAGAGTTAATCCAAAATTAATTATGTTTAGTTATGATTGGTGAAAAGTTCATTTAATGACAAAGTAAAGTTTAGTTTGCATATTAGTTGCTTAATCCAGTTCAATCAATGTATGCAAAAACATACACAGAAACATTGATTAGTAATATACACAAAAGTAAAATCATTAAATTTGAGACATATAAAATATATTACGCACATTACCTTGTGTAGTCTCAGATGTGTACTTGCTCCAAATATTCAGTGTATTGTGGAAACCCAATATGCATAGTGGCTTTGATTTTTGACGTAGCATTTGTTAATGCATCCTGCACGCCATCTAATATCAGATTTTAATAAAGGCTATGACACACGCCTAATTAAAGCGCCAAAAAAGTTTACAAAAGAAGAAAATAGGAAGATGAACCTATTCACTGATTCGGTATCATAGAATCCGAATCGTAATTAAACGTTGAAGCAAGATTTCACGATTTCATAATTCTGAACAAAGAGCGGATATATATCACCAACGATCAACGCAGAGACATTTCGGTATGAAAAGTTGACTTACTGGCAACGCTTACAAACAACAATAACGTGTAAGTTATTAACATTATTTTCATCCACTTATTAATTAGTTAGTTACCGTATTTAATCGAATTAACTCCCGGGCGTATATATTGTTGAGAAGGGTTTCAGGCGGCGTTTATTCGGGAGAGGAGGCTTTTTTCGAGGGCTTTTTTTGTGTAAAAATGGATAGTCCTACTATAATACTCACATAAACGCCCTTTAGGTTCACAGTGGAACTACAACACAAATGCCGAGGTGCGTTTATTCAAAGGAGGCCTTTATACCAAAATGAGGACCTACAGGGGGATTATTTCAAGGGTCGTTTATTCGAAGCGGGACATTTGTACGAAAAAATATGGTTTTGTGTTCATGAAGCGTCGGCTACGGTCCCCAGACAGGGACCCAGCCAAAATTTCTAATTTTAAATATTTTGAATTGGAAATAATGTGAAAATTTATTTCATTAAATTTTGATTTTTCTTTATTAAAATATACAAGTTGCTTTCGATTGAATAAATAATTTTTGAACCATTTAATTTTTTGTTGAAATCCTAAATGTTCAAGCTTAAAATGTATGATTTTGTGATTTATGGTTTCTAAGCATTTAGAGACATCTTTTTCTGTTGAACTCAAAATGATAAATAATAGTATGTTTATTATGGTTTCTATTATTATTTCAGCTATGATCGCTAAACATGACTTTGTTTAAGTATTGCGTGAGCCTCCATTTAGCATTACACGTATCTTTGGCTTGTAAGTACGTTTCCTTATTGTGTACACTTACAGGATTTGTGACAGGAACGTTAATTGGTACCGTATATTATGTCATTAAAACTGCGCCTGCTTTGTGGTTTAGCTATACATATTAGTCAATCGAAAAAGAACCTTTTTGTCGCGTTCTGGTGAAACTTATGTCAATCTACGTAAAACAGTATGTCTAGAGCGAGGCTTCAACTTTATGTTCCAATAATATTGTTTTCTATACAAACAAATAATAAACATAAAATAATTAATAGCGAGGAGCTTGAAAATATTGCAAACACTAAATGAATCTAAACACTTCACATAAAAGTAATTGCATAAAAGAAACTTAACACAAGTATTTAAACTAAGTGTAGAAAATTATCAGCTAAGTGTTTCATTCTGGTTCTTTACTGTTTTATACGAGGTTGTCTTTGAATTGTTTATAGCTTTTAATATGACAACAAGATCTGTTTTGGATGTAATAAGCATAGGCTTATCTGTGCAAATTTAATTGCCAATTTCTTCTATCCAGCGTGTCCTGGGTCAAAATTAATATAGATCTATAAGTCATATGCATGGGGTTTTACCTCATACATAAATGTCTCAGCTCTACAGAGCCAAAACTCCTAGAAGTTTTTGCTTACTAGATTGTAACATCGCCGTCTCATACAACATGTTAAGATCGTTTCCAATTTTTAGCCTATGAACACTGGAACATATTAATAATTGAGACTGTGCCTATGACGTATTCGACGCATCCAGGTTATATGGTGATGGTATTTAGGATTATGTTGTGTAATAATATTTGAAATTGGTAGAAAGTGCAGGGCAGGTAACGGATCCTTGTGGTACTCCAGAGCTATGACAAACACTTTAATATTGTTTACTTTACAATTTTATTATTACATTTTTCACTGTGTAAGAAACTTTCCGCCTAAAGCATTTTGTTTTAGTAAATGCCCTTTTTTCATAACTGTATCTATCTTTTATTAAAACAACGTTGTTGTTTGTTATAGATAACTTGACGTCAACGACTGAAGCATCATTCGGCTACGTATCATTTGTTAATGATACGCCCTCAGCCCCCAGATATAGTGCCGGTGACTATGCTATTTCTACAGCTCTATGATTTTATGTAAACGATATTTTAACAATTGTTTCAGTAAAGTAAAGAACATTATTAATGATGGTCACGTGTCTTGAAATGATCATTGTATATACAAAGCACCTTGTCAATAACAAACTACGTGATTAGGTTTAAAGTATATTTGCTTTGATTTTCTGTTTAGGCCTAGGCCTATATATTTATGGCAGTATATAATACGTGTTGTGTGTTAAGAACAATAAGTTATTAGAATATAAACATTTTTGAATTATTAATTCCTAATCTGAACTACAATTTTTTTTCCAGATCACATAATGTTAGTTGCTATAAAGAAGGATGATGTCATACTATATACTTACTTAAATGAAAACAATGCAAACGAAATGTTAACATTCAGCAAACTTCCTCTCCATGACGTATACCAACCTAGGTTTGCAGTATTCGATCCTGTTGATGAAATAGTTTATTGGTCAAATCGTTATGGAATATATCGAGAATCTATACATGGTGGCAGCAAAAAAGTATTTATCGACTCACCGGGTGAGCTTGTTTTACTCAATTCAACAACCCAAAATCAATTCTAGGTCAGGGGATACTTAGTTTATTATTTTATTTATATGACAATGCTATTGACAGGAAACTGTCAAGCATAAAGCAAATTCTCATTCTGTGTGGCAGTTAGACACAAACAGAATGATTCAAATTGCCTTTTTCAAAGCTTGTGCGAAAGTATTTTGTTCTATGGAGCTGAGACGTGAGCGATGAAACAGAGCTTCTATATCGTGTTAACGGTACTTACACGAGCTTTCTATAATACGTATCCCAAACCTGTTTCGGAAGGAACATCCAAGTATAATGATTCCTATTTCAACAGTTGTAACCCATTTTACCGGACACTGTTTCAGAGATAAAGACCAGAAAATTTCCGAAGTACTACTCTAAAGACTTCCATGTATAGAGAGAGGAAGCAGACATACAAAATACCCTTATACATTATGCAGAAGTCCCGGTCTTACACTAGAAGAACCGTAGTTCAGCCCTTGTTAAAGTCAGGCTCCGGAGGAAAAAAAAAATTTGATATGTTGTAGAACTGATTTTTCTAAGACAGAAAAAGAAAAAGTTGTTTGACGAAAAACTGGGGAACGGTGAATGAGATACAGGTTTTTTAATATTTAAAAACTGGGGGAATAAGGTGTAAAATGGGCAGTTGCGCCCCTTTTCCCCCAGTTTTTAAATATTAAAAAATCTGTATCTCATTCACCGTTCCCCAGTTTTTCATCAAACAACTTTTTTCTGTCTTAGAAAAATCAGTTCTACAACATATCAAAAAATTGTTTTCCTCCGGAGCCTGACTTTAAAAGATCAATTGCGTGAAACTGTGTCCAGAATCTCGGCAGCAGCCGAAGGATGTTGATAATGATATGCCATTAAATACTTGCCATTGGGACTGAAACCTCACCTTTTGCTTTTTAATTTGTACTTTGCTGTTAATTTTGCATTTGTTGTAGTCCGTTTCGGATTGTTATTTTAGCATGTGGTTAGTTTAGTTGACCTACTAGATTTCGCTACTTTTGTTTTCTCTGCAGCACTTTGAGACCACGTACGTGTAAGTCCCTAACCATTACCATTACCATTAGGCCAAATGAAAAAATATATAGTGTGTTAACCACGTCCGACCGACCCAAAAGTTACGAAAGTAAGGTTAGGCAGGATCCTAGAAAGTGTAAACACAGAGAGCGAAGCACATGCTCATACAAAAATGGTACTTGAGGTGACATGACCTTCTGGCGTACGTATGACATGGTCATAGATAGTATCGTTTTCGGGGTTTTCAACCCTTTAAAAATAAATTTTTCGTACATAAACTCATTAAAATATATTTTAATAGCAATATATAAAACGTCACACTTCTGTACTGGTAAATATTACAATTTTTGCTGCAGATCGCTTCTGCGCATATGACATCTCTCTCTGGTTATTTTGAGCACATTGCACGCAGCCCCGTTATGTCATCATGTTGTTGGTGTTGGTCTGTCGAGATCGTGAAATCATCAAATCTTTCAGTACGTCCAGTTTAGACACGTCACGTTTCATCGACCTACTCATTTAAAAAAAAAAAATTTTATAGCCTTACATAGCGTAAACTATTTTTCGGCCCATCAACTTTTAAGCTGTATTTAAGCATGGCCGGTCGGCCGAAAATTGTTAGAGTGTGATTCAAATTCATGAGCACAGTTCAACAACCTAAATAGAAAGCGCCTTTTTTGTAATTTATTCAGATACAAAATGTGAATAAATGAATGAATAAATAAATAAATAACTGATCGAATAAATGAATAAATAACTGATCGAATAAATGAATAAATAAATAAACGAAAAGACAAACTTATTTTAATATTCGTCCTGAATTACAAATGACTGTGTTTTCTTCTTCTTCTGGCTCTTGTAAAGATACAAAACTTTTACAACTCGACTACATAACCCGGAAAGTATTTTGGGTAGACGGTGACTTGTTTGAGGTAAACACGAATGGGTCATTCATGAGACAAGTCTGCGATATAGGCCTACATAACGAAGATGTCACTGGTGTCAATATTGATACAGATAACGGGTAAGTAGTGTTATATTATAGGTTATGGATAAATGTTTAACTTTGTTGTTGGCTAAATGATAAAAATAATATAATATATAAATACCTTATAATCAACGGATGTGTATTGAATTTAAGGTTAGAATTATAAATTACTGTAATAACAAGGATAGTTATAATAAAATATATTATGATAATGTATGTATAACATATAGCCTAGTAAAGTAAAGTAAAAAAAAAAGTAATTAATGTATATGGAGTATTCATTTAAAATGTAAATTTTGAACAATAATAATAATAATAATAATAATTATTATTATTATTATTATTATTATTATTATTATTATTATTATTATTATTATTATTATTATTATTATCAATATTATTGTTATCCATAATTGTACTGTATTGTTAAATGCAAAATGTTGCGGTCTTTCAGAATTATGTATTTCAGTTTAATTCATGATGACATTATGACGATAGGAAGTTTAAATCTGGCCGATTGCAGCATACACACGATGGTTCTTGGCGACCAGATACTTCATGGGCGTATAGCGTTTGATATCGAACGTAAGTCAACTCACCTTAGTTCTTATTCGTCTGTCCACTATTCTGGTTCTAATTTGATGCTATCTGCCTCGACTCTTCACTGTCCGGAACTTTGTGTACCACGTTGCCAGCAATATAATAAAAAATATAAAAACTCATTAACATTGAAAAAATATATATTAAAATTATTAGGAAGAAAAAGAAAAATAATTTTAATACTTGTAAAGAAAAAACACATTATTATTATGAAGTAAGGAAAAGCATGACAACCTACTAGGTGAGTGCATTTTTAGCTTATCCACCTTTTGTAATATAGTTATGATAAGAATACTATAGCGCAAACTGTAATGTGTTCCGATGTTCGAAATACACAGAGCTGTGAGTGTGTACCATTCAAGATGATTGCTATGCCGTAGATTCAGCCAATCCACAAATTCGATCGAATAAGTGTAATCCTTTAATGGCGCCCTCAATTTACTCATAAAATTTGAGTACAGCTTAGTTACCCGTATGTTGAAACTCGAGCGTTGTGGTGTATGGGTGTGACGAACAAGATTTCAAAATTCACTCCTCAGTACAGTACCGTACAGTACTTTATTTTCAAACCAGATATTTCACTTGCATTGCGTACCTAGGGGTGCTGGGAGGGAGGGGGATGGGAGACACGCCCCAAAAAAATTACTAGCGCCCCCACATTCGCCCCTAGAAATTACGGTCAAGTAGTTAAAAGTTACCTAAAATCATCTTATTTTCCGAATACGATAGTTTAATAATTTATTAATATTATTTATAATAATGATTAATGAAATAACGGTTATAATAGGCCTATCTATAGGGCCTACTAAGCCTAAAGTCCATCTTGGATGGTACACAAACACAACTTCGCATTGCATTTTTGTAGAAATGTTTATGGAAATATATTTTGAAATTCTGACCCCTGTTAGAAAATGTTACTTCTCCCCTCATTACATGATTAAATTGCTTACATGACTCCTTTTAGCAGCTCTGTATATTTTAACGTTTTTAGCACCTATAGCAAATCAGTCGGATCGGCTTAGGAATAGGAAACGTCACGATTTGCTTTTTTTGGTTTTATTATTGTTATTATTGTTGTTGTTGTTGTTGTTGTTGTTGTTATTATTATTATTATTATTATTATTATACATAAATGAAAACCTGATAATGTTATATGAATGACATGAATAAAAAACAAATATTCGTTTAGAGCAATAACAAATTCATTTTTAACTAATTGCAATCAGTTGACTTACATGAACAAACATAATTGGGCTAAAAATAACTTATTGATTTAAACCTTTTTTGTACGTAGAGCATTCTCTTCATTGGATATTCTATGACAGGGATTTTGCTAACTTTGGATATATTAACAATGGAATATGCAATGTGGCAGTCAAAACCTCATTCAGGATTTTATATAGGCCCAATAGTCGTTTTCGTGATATCGCTGTTTATCAGTCGTATTTATTTTTTACTTGGAATGACGACGGAGTTATTGGACGGATGCAAAAGAATGGATCAGATCAAGTACTATTTTTTCAAGACAGACAACAAAATGGACAAATTCGATTGGAAATTCAAAGAGGTATATATTCATTCAATTATCTACCTATTATTATAATTTTGTTAATTTTATTCTTGTTCAATAGGCCTATGTCTTATTATATGCAATTTTAAGGTGATTTTATCCGACGAGTTTTATGCTCATTGCACAGCACTGACAGCCGATCGTCAACCGATGAATTGCACAGACGTGTGGTCATCTCTCGTCAACCGGTTTAATCTTTCTTTTTTCTGCCAGAGTATTCCTTTTAAATGTCTGTATTTCATAATTTTTTTCGCAGTAATTAAAATCTCTGAGGTTGATTATGATGGAACCCTGACTTAATTTATGATCAGCACATTTACAATGTGAATAAGTTTTTCAAAGTTAAATCATTTATACATATTTTAGTAGGTGATATTACATTAAATGCGTATTATTTAAATGATCCTCTGCCAAGGAATACTATGAACAAATTATAAGGCATTGAAAACCACGAAGCTAATTACGAAATAGAAAATTCAATTCAATAGAGATGAAGTTTAAATTTATAAGATTATGAGTATCACTAATGACATTATTATTAATAATTTTTACTTATTACTGATGATTTGTAGGCCGATGTAATTATTATTACTATTATTATTATTATTATTATTATTATTATTATTATTATTAATATTATTATTATTATTATTACTATTCTTTATGTAGGCCTATATATTTTATTTTTCTCAAGCGTATTTTAAACATTAGTATTTTTTGCTAAGTTAATTTTTCAGGAAAAGCGACAGCAACTATGAACACCGTAATGGAAACAACGACAGGATTTCACACGCCTGTGGATGGTGTAGGTGAGGATCGTGATTAAGGTGATAATAGTGATGATCGTGGTAATCGTGATGATGATGATAATGATAGTGGTGCTCGTGATCGTGATAATGATTTTGAAGATAGTGATTATGATGATCGTGAAAATGGTGATCATGAAGATGATGATAATAAAGACAATGATAATGAAGAAGATACAGATGTTGTTCGAGGTGGTTTCAGTAGCAATATTGCAGTGAAAACCATTAGTTGTGGTAACAAATGAAAATCAGAATGTTACTGAGGTCGGATTTAATATCTAATACCAGATTCCTGAAAACGAACCTATTATGAGGAACGATTATAAAACGGACCTCTATTTTCAACGTTATGGACTGATATAGCGGGTATGATAAACTCATCAGCATAGGCGTTGATCGGTTGTGGGAGTACGTCCCACTTCCCAAAATTTCAGATTGCGGGGACATGGATTGGCTCTTCAGTATTCACTATTCTTCTATAGTTAAAATAACACTTTTCAAAGCGAGTAGAAAAACAACAGCAATCAATTACAAATGAATGACAAAATAATCTCATTAGATAATAACATGAGCTAATCAGTAAATAATAAATATATAAATCATTATTTTAATTAATGTTATTCTGCACATAATGTGTGGGTTTTTTTATTCCAAAACTATGAGGTAAATTGAAACAGTTTTTATGATCAATATTGTGAAAACGTAGTGAATATAAGCGTTAACTGTAAATAATGTTATTCTTAAAGTCAATTAAATATAAATGATAAAAGACCTTCCAGGGATGTTGCCCCTTGGGCCCCATCGGAACTTTGCCCTGGACCCCGCTGTGGGCATGGCCCCCAGACCCCCAGCCAAAGGTTGGGCCTACGGCTCATGGCTTCTTTTTTTTTCTCATTTTTCTCATTTGTCCCCTCCCCAAATTTCAAGCACGGATCGACCCCTTTGCTAACCAGTGTGTAATACATTTCCTATTAGCAACTTACATTTGAAATACTTGAACATGAATTTGTAAAATTGATGAAAACCACCGTAACACAGTAACGACACTCATAAATACTACTCAAAGTAGGCCTAAAGTTGACCATAATTTTTACAAGAGTGTGAATGATATTTAGCTATGTGTGTAATCAGCTGTATTACTGTATATGATTATGTATAATATGTGGGTGAGAATATGAATATGTATGAGTAAAAAATATGTCAATTGACTGAAGTTTATAGCTGATGGACTTTAATAGGTCTCTGTTCGCATTAAACACATATAAAAATTGTATACGTGCACGTTCATTTACACATACACTTAAATAAGTATTTTCTCATCATTAGACTGTGGACCTCGAACTGATGTAGTAGAAACTCCTAAAATATCAAGACAGGAGAAAGTAATGGAATATTTATTGAATAATGACGACAAAATTCATGATCAACATATTTTGGTAAGTATATTTTGTGAGAGTTAGACAATTGTTACCCCAATTGGAACTCGAACTTTTACTTTTGTTATCAAAAGTAAAAGTTCCAATCACCATCGGGGTAACAATTGTCTAACTCTCACAAAATATATTTTGTTGTATGAAGGGAAAGAGACTAGTGGTGTTAGATCCGTAATGATATCCTACGCGCGGGCCTACGCGTCTCTAAACGGTATATACTGCTCGCCCAGATAGCGAGAGATAGCGGGTTCCCACCAAAGACCTCTTTTTCATACAAACTATAATAAGGAACTTTCGTTGATGAACTATGTTTAATACGATTTATAACATCATGTTCTAATATATTTGAGCACTGTATTATCTATTCGATTTATATATATATATATATATATATATATATATATATGTATATTCATATATATGTTGTAAGCCCTGTCTCTTATACACATCTAGATGTGTATAAGAGACAGGTGTGTGTGTGTGTGTGTGCGTGTGTGTGGGGAGGGGACGGAGGTGGGTGTGGGTGTGTGTGTGTGTGTGTGTGTGTAAATAACGGTAACTTACACAACCTGGTCGTGTCGTGCTTATCGTTAAATATATCGGTGATACATACTGTTATATTTTTAATTTTAATTTAATTTAATTTTTGAAGAAAATGAGTAGACGACCATATTTTTAGGAGATAGACTAATAATTATATTTTTAAATTACTGCTTGCTACTGTAATTATAAAAAAAATTGCTTGCTACTGTAATTATTTAAAAAAACTGTCTTTTATTTAAATTCTTTTTTACTACTATTAAATACTCAACTGTTAGGGCTGCATCTTAAGGATACTTATTCTATTATTAATATTGTTGTTTTACGGAAACCATTGACCATTGTCGAACAAGAGTGAAAACATTGTGCATTTTTTTTTTTAACAGACTGGAGATGAAATAGCGTCCAGTATGGCAGATATTGAAAAATTGTTAATGAACATGTTAAAATCATCTGGAAACAGAAGTTACTCGTTTTTGTCTCAGAGGCTTCGTAAGTAAAAATAACTGTATTTAGCCGAAATATATGTAGAAAATCCGAATCAATAAACCTCGTGTATAATAACACAAGTAACTCAATCTGAATTAATATTGTATTTGGACGAGGAAATGTACCATGATAAAATATACTAGGAGTAGTAGATTAACACGGTGCGCGTCTGACCTTTTTGACTTGGTTTTTTTTTCATTCAAATTGTCTAATCTTAAATATATGGCAACGGGTACAGAGAACCACAAGAAGAAAGAAAAAATATTACAAAGGATAATTATTTTAATATTAGCCACCAAATAATACAATTAGGTCTGTGGTATTTTACTGTTTATTTTAAGAGAATTGTGTTAATAGTTTTTAAATGGAAAACTCAATTCCATTAAAATATCAGTACTGCTCTATAAATATCATGTATATAATGTATTAATAATGTTATTATTTTTTAAAGCTGATTGTAAATAATTCAAATCTAGATCTTGTGGCTGGATTATGACACTGTAACTAAAAAAATGATTTAGAATGAAATTGGTCTTGTGCATGACAATACTCACCGGAATGGGTGTGGCGGAGGAGTGGGACGGGTTGCACGTTGTGTATCTGTGTATCATCATTAAAGTGGCTTAGAGTTCCTAAGGAACTCTAAAGTCGCTTAGTTATTGTATTATTGTTAGTGTTGTTATTATTATTGTTGTTTTGATTATTGTTGCTGTTACTGTTATATTTCTGTTGTTATTATTGTTACTATTGTTTTTATTATTAAATAGTTATTATTATTATTATTATTATTATTATTATTATTATTATTATTATTATTATTATTAGTACCATCATTAACACCACCACCCCCATTAACACCACCACCATTAGCATTACCGCCATTATTATTATTATTATTATTATTATTATTATTATTATTATTATTATTATTATTATTGTTATTACAGTATTATTATTACCATTACTACTACCATTGTTATTATTATTACAGGTTCGAAATCAAAATATATTGACAGTAAATGGGAATTGAGTGAAGTTATGGATACAAACACAAACCATACAGTGTCTGCGGATATTGACATTGTGCCAGGAGGTATTGATATTATATTGGAACCATTAATCAATAGGCCTATAATGTACCCACTACTGCGCATGCTCCATAGTACTGTAGTACACTCGGCCTAAATTGTTGTAAGCCTTTGCGTCAACTCTCAGTGGTGGCATAGGGCCGGGAGACCTACTAGTGTATAAAACAATGGTTAACACTAGTAATGCCTACAGCACTATGTAGCTTACTACAAATAATAAAAATTACTCAGGAAACTTCTGATTTCTAGAATTAAACAAAATATTTAAAACTACAATAAAGAAACGTTTTATTAAAAATCGTAATATAGTTAATATCAAAATAAAGTAGCTACCATGGTATACGTTTTCATTTAGATTAAATTGGCAAATATTTATAATTATACTAGGTTATCTTTTATTTAAAACAAAGTATGTCTATTCATTTATAATCACCATTTTTCCACCAATTGTATGAATTCTCTTACAGGACTTATTGCTACTATAAATTATGTAAAACCAGAAGTAATTGCAGTTGGACCTCAGAACACCGTAAACTTCGAATTTTCAGAGTAAGAAAATAATTGGCTCGAATGATTAAAACAATGATTATACAAGTTAAAACAAGACATAAAATAGCATTATCTATGACAAATATAATTTTGGTGTACGTGTACATCGTAATTGAAATGACATTATTATCAATCCAATATACTGCACATGCAATGGCAATTTACATGCTCCAGGTCTATAAGGACAGGCTTCCAAAACATGGCCTGCAGCAAAAACGACTTTTTTTAATGAAAATGAAGCAAAAACACTGGTTGCATTTTATAGATAACTTCGATTGTTTAATACACAAGCTCTCGCCGCAGCCTCTGTTGGCTTCAACATGTGTAGCGAATGGTCCACTTCCCTACACTTGATGAAGCCCACAGACTCTGCTGGTGAAAGCTTGTGTATTAAATAATTAAAGTTAGTCCATAATGTACTGCAAGTGTTATATTTAATACGTCTACCAGACTGACACTTCTCTATCTACTCTATGAACATAAAATTTATAATAAATAACAATGTTTATACAAGAAGTGTTTATATCAACTTTCATTTTGTCTTAATAAAAGCGACAATTCTTCGAATATCAGTACATCAGTTTATATAGTTAGTGGTATGTTCTCCTTGACTGTATACCGAGGAAATAGCGTTGCCGACTGTGGAGTAACAATTGGCATACCGATTCTTTCATACTACGTAAGTTTTTCATTTTACATGTGACCCGCCATTCCTCTAGGAAACAACGTAGCTATTAATAAAAATAATGGTTATGTGTCCCGTCTTCTAGTTCAAATTGATATACAGAAACGCTTTTTTTTTTGCTTGATTGTGATAATGATTTCTTTTTAGTCCAAATTTAGAATAAATACACTGTCCTTATCCGACCTTACTCTTACGTGAGATTTGTTCGTGGTGCCCAGCGATCAGACTTCAAATAAAACTCGAATTTGTACCATAGTCTTCAGCGCAGAAGAAGCAAGAACATTACTTTTAAGCCAAACCCTCATTTGTCGAAAATAATTCATTTTGTTGACAACTGTCCCCTTGTAAACCATTGATTATAAAAGATTATGTAAATAATTTCTATACATAAAATCTTTCTTTTAGACAAATCCAACCTTAAATATCGACCAATCGTCGTCATTAACGTGTGCATTTTATGACATATTGATCAAGTAAGTTTTGGCATTACTGTCGAGCCAAACCTTTTTTCTTGTCAGTAGATATTGTTAACAGACCCGTTGGCAGGAGGTGCAAGGAGAGCTGACACCCCTACAAAAGGTCAACTTTTTAAATCCTATTATTTCACTAAAATTGTTCCCAATGATCGCGAAATGATAGGCCTATGCATTCCATTTGCAGGCTCTTCTAACCGATTTTTTATAACTGGCAGTACGAATTTTGTTGGAAATTGGATCAGTTTTAGTGACTGCAGATTTATTGATATGAACAAAAAACTATATTATAATGTAGACCTAAAGATGTAATGAACATAAAACCTTACATTTTAAGGTACGGTATCTAACAACACCAAATTAATGGAAAATTAAATAGATCAATTTTCACGAATTATTGGTTTCAGAAACCGATCAAATAAGGCTCGTAATTTTGCTTTGTTGGAGCTTACGAGAGGTTTCCCTAGGGCCCCATCGAGCTCTACCTCTAGACCCCGCCGGGCCATACGCGGCACTCAGCCTAAAGCTCACAAACGAAGCCCCCGCCCGCTGACTCATTAAAAATCCTCAAACGGGCCTGATTGTTACACCAGTCATAGACTAATTTCATATTCGGATTGGATGTTATTTGTCCTAATCCAATCAATGCATACAATAACATCTAGTCAAAATTAGGAATTTATTCAAGACTGGTGTAACAACAGCCACTGTCTTAACTTTATACACCTCGGCCTACTCGTCGCATTATATTTTCAATGTGTGAAGTGCTACAAGAACGATCGCATGTTATAGTAGATATAAACGTTTTCTACCTGCAGTAAGTGGTCAACGAATGGCTGTAGTATGACGTCTTCTGCTGGGGATGTGGTAAAGTGTACGTGCTCACACATGACTAGTTTTGCTGTTTTAATGAAAGTTTCATCCTACGAGGTAATTCCCATTAAAAATATATATATATATATATATATTTTTTTTATACATACGTTGCTAAAGTCCGTTTGAAAAGTGATGATTCAAAAAGTTGGCATTTAAAAAAAAAATATTTTCAGTGCCTGCATACGTAATATAAGTTTACCTTTAATATAATTTTTTAAGAATAAGACAGAAAAAGATCAAAAGAAAATATATTTTTATATACAGTTTGAAAATATATTTCAAAAAGGTTACCTGTATAAAAGAATTGATGCTAATCGTTTGTGGTGGCAGAAACGTAGAAAATGAAACATATTTTAACAGAAAGATCCCGGGACAGAGTCTCGATTGAGGTTGATTATTTTTTTTTCATCTTCTTTATTTTTTTTATTTTAACAGAAAGATCCCGGGACAGAGTCTCGATTGAGGTTGATTATTTTTTTTTTCATCTTCTTTATTTTTTTTTTTTTGCAGTTATGTTTAATTAAATGCATAACATTTACAAATTAATATGGTTTCTAATAAATTACTCCATTTTCCCCAAGATTTATTCAGGATACATATTCAATGATAGTATATGTGCAATAATAAAAACGACAAAAACAATACTAAATATTACACTAAAATAACTCGGTTTAATCGTTATAAAATCCCTGTCTCTTATACACATCTAGATGTGTATAAGAGACAGCATAAAGCATAGTTTTTAGTATTTTGTTTACAGATTCCGGTACATCAATACGAAACGTTGTCCATAATATCTACGATTGGACTTGCCCTGTCAATGTCTGCTCTTGTTGTAACACTGACTGTGTACATGATTCTACGGTAACTTCAAATTCGTTAATTGAGAATGCATAATCCGTCACTCACATCACGAACTAACACAATCAAAGTAGATTGTGTTAGTTCGTAAAATCACAGTAGCGCGTCAAAACGAGCGCGTATTGGTTGTCAAGCAATTTTGTATTCTTTACCACACAAAAAGTCCTTAACGACAACAGCGCGTATTTTGACGCGCTTTTTTTATTTCACGAACTAACACAATTGAATTTAATTGTGTTAGTTTGTGATGTGAGCGACGAATCATGCAACAAATAATCTTGTCTTAAGCTCAGGCCAGACTATGTGGCGTGCCTAAATATGGTCATGATGAATATATATATATATGCATATCATGACTATATACGGGCGTAAAACATTTTTGTTTTTGTCTAAAAATTAATAGAGTGGACAAAGAATTATAACAAAAAAAATGATATTGTTATTAAACAGGAAACTTCAGAATTCATTACGGCACACCATTCACAAGAACTTAATTGGGAATTTGATAATATTCGGTATGATATTTTTGACAGCTATCGACAAAACAGGACATCAGGTAAATAATAGGCGAGACTGTCTGAAGTTAAACGCACCTTATTTGTGCTAGCTTATGATTGGCTGTTTTGTAACGAGCTATTAATTTAAACTTATGGTGACAGAACATTTTCTTTTGCTGCCCCAGTACTAAAGGAATTTCCTTCTCTCAACATTTATTAGACGGTCAGTTTGAATTCAAAATGGCCGCAAAAGTTAGGCGTCAAAAACTTGGCACACAACTTCACTTTAAATATAAAAGTATCAAATATATTTAGTGCCAAGGTTTACGCTTTGGTAATAAAATGCACGCCTGTGTTCCTTAGCTGCTCAACTATATTATTGAATTCTGTCATCTTGCAGGATGCTGGCGTAACTCGGTTTACTAGTTATAAAATCCTATAATTTTGCAGGTTATTTGCAAGGTCGTTGGTATATCTCTCCATTATGAGGTCCTCTGTGTATTCATGTGGATGCTAGCTGAAGCCGTGTACCTCGTCTTTAAAGTTGTCAAAAAGACACCAAGTTCTTACAACAAGTTGAAATATTACTTAGTTGTGTGTTACGTCACTCCGTTGTTAATTGTATTTCCGGTTGTCATCGTACGCTATGACTGGTACACCACTGAGAAACTGCAAGTATTTATAGCATTTTAGCAGTACTAAAGCTATTGTACTAAAAAATGCCATGCCTAATTAAAAAGAACATATTGGACCTACTAATGGATGCTAAGCTAATAAATAAAACAATAACACCTCGACGAAATTTAATAATTTCTTTAGTCCCATCCAGCAGAGTATTATTGGTCGACAATATTATTCATAATATATTTTAAATAATATACCTACATCTTGGAATCGAGTAAAGTATATACTGCTGATGTGTAGAATTGTTAACACAATTTCATACACTTTGTATATAAATCTAGGCTTTATTTGGTATTTTGTAGTTGCTGGTTATCTACCTCTGGTCGATGGGCAGTCGTGATTCCTGCTATGACGGTAGTCTTGGTAAGAGACCGCTATGGCATACGCTTGTATCAAGTTCTCAATCAGTTCATAATGATATGTTTATTTATTGACTCCATATTGTTTATAATTTATTTTCAGTTCAACCTGGTTCTACTCTCAAAGATGATACACATCATGTACATACGTTCTGGACCAATGAAGCGTAGGTCGCCGGCTATAAGGGATGATTACAAGCAACTTAGGTATGTTCCAAAGCGGTAGCTCAAGAGGTAAAGGTAACATGCCTAGTTCAACACGTTAGAGGAGAGATCCAAACCACGAAGCAACATATGGCCTTACCTAGAGTTCCAATACAAAGCCCGGGCGGGAATCGAGAAGATTTTTAAGGACGAAACAACTTATGCTCTTAGACCATTCGAAACCGGATTCTGTGAGCTACTATTACCCTACTCATATTATACAGAACACTACTCAGATCCCTTGGGAGTATTCCATGACGTTTCAGTAGCTAGTAATCAGCGCATCTGGCACTGTAAAAACAAGCTACCCATTTATACTCCTTTCTGGGGGTGTCTATAAAACGAAGACTGCCGACTCAAAAACGAAGACCCCTATTTTTTCTCTTAATTTGATGATATACGCCAGGCTGTCACAAAATTGAAATTACGAATTTTGTTGGGCGTCTGTTTGTGAAATTTTTAAGGGTTTTCGATATATAGACACCCTATATGGATGTCTCAAAACGAACACTGAAGACCCGAAAAACGAAGACCTCCAGTCTCGATTGTCTTATTGAAAGTATTTCAAAATCATCATCGCTCAAGTAGTTTTTGTTCGACTGGCTGTACCAGTAGAATATATGCCTATTCGAGGCTCTTTTTTGTAGCTGATTAATCAACAGTCGCGGTAAAACGGGTACGAGAATTTTATCTGTTAACAAAAACTTTAAAAACAAACTTTTGGATTTTTGGATCTAAAGTGAAGAACTTTCATAAAACAACAATATGGCTAATTCAAAGTTAATTTTTATTAGCGTTTTTTTTTTTCTTTTGTGTGTGTGTGTGTGTTTCAAAGGGACAATACATCTTTAAAGATTATACATCACTGCATGTGCTATTACCAAGTTACCAAATTAAATTAAACATTGCAATACCTGTTTAAAAGTATCATAGATTAGTAACATTTCAACTAGATATAGTGCTTTATACAAAAATCCTTAAACCATGATACTTATTTTTAACAGATTCGCCGTTAGAGGAAGCTTCATCTTGCTGCCTATTCTTGGTGTGACGTGGGTTGTTGGACCGTTTGCTGTTGATTCAAACAGTCTCGTTTTAAGCTATTTATTCAACATTTCCAACTCCTTACAAGGACTTTTCATATTCATAGCTTACTGCCTATTCGACAAAGAGGTACACATATTCGATATTTGATAGATATACAAGTACTATATTGCTAACCATTAATTTATGGCTCAAAATTATTTATATTATTGCCATGTAGGCCTATATGGTAGAGAGCTAGAATAAAAAAGAAATAAGTACAGTAGATGTTCAAAAGCATAGGTCTACAGCAAAATAATTGTTGTTATTAGAAACGTTAATTGCTAAACATAAATTTATGCCGCAAAAATATTTATATTCTTGTCATGTATGTGGTAGTGAACTAGAATAAAATAAAAAATAAGTACAGTATTATGTTTAAAAGCGTAATATGTCTGCAGGAAATTGATAAGAATAACCTCTTTTAGGTCAGAGCGTCTGTGAAGAAACTGCGCAAACGGAAAGGAAATGTCAGTGCAGCCGTAAGTTACTAAAGTGTAATTTTAAATTTTAACTTGAATCTTTCTTTTTTCATTTAGTAATTTTAAAATTTTAATCGGAATCTTTATTCATCATTTTAATATTTTATAAATAAAATTACTATCTTAATATATTATGATAATGCTTATATTGTACCTTGTTATTGTCTATTTAGAGTTGTTTCGTTTTAAGTATTTCAATAGCCATTTTAATGTATATTTTATGTATATTATGGAACTAGTGTTTTTATACAATTTTAATGACTTGAAACTGCTATTTCCATATTTATTAATATATTTACAAAAGTAATCATTACAAGAAACAAGTTTAAAAAAAAGAAATGCACGCACCCCACAAAAAAAAAATCAATTACACATCCATAAGAAATCAAGTCTTCAAAATTAAAAAAAATACAATATGTATAATATGTATACTTTATTTGTTTAATTTCACTTTTCTTTGATTTCTATCCGCAGGAACCCAACACTACAAACCCAGTAACTATATCAACAAGTATTGTCGTAAAGAATAATAATTATTTTGAATGACAATCATCAGTATTTGTGCTGAACTGCTAGTCATATATATACAATATATTGCAATTTCTGTTCTTTAGAAAACGCATTCAGTTTAATAATACCTGTAAAATTTACTAAGTACAGTATTTAATACTTAGTGCATATTCTGTACTCAAAAGTATCAATGAATACTGCCCTCTATCAACTGACCCTGTAGATGTAAGTAAACATCTCCTTTGAATTACAGTATATAAGAAAAAGTCTACGCTTACAACACAATTGTAAAGAAGATATAATATACACAAGGTAATGCATTTGTTAACTTAATATTTACAGTTACTACAGTTACAATTAGTTTTCAACTATATTACCCATGTTTTAAAAATGTCACTAGATTGTTAAATATGAGAGGCTGTATAGTGGTAAGAGTCAAATGACAATGGCCATTTTTTCATTGTGTATAGTATATAATGCATATAAAATGTTTAGTAATAGGTCATTCAACTGATCATTGATTTATTAATTGCTCATTTTACGCTGCGCAGTTATTCGTGGTAACAAATAATTTACTACAACAGCGACGGAAATATGAAGAAATATTACAATTTCAACTAAATTAGATTATGATGATATTTAGCATAAATTTCCTGATTAGTAATTAGTATAATCACACACGCACCAAAAAACAACAGGCTCGTCACTTTACTACCATATTTACATTTTCTAACTTTAGTTATCGTGGTATCAAACAATTTACGACCAACAATGACAGCGATGACGACAATGGCAATGATAAAGACAGAAACGACACAGGTAAAACCCACAGTCTTCCCGGAGTTTCGGCCCCCCACCCTTGGGGAGACTAATTAATTTATTGATTGACTGTCAGATTGATTAATTGATGCCAAACATAAGATTATTCCATGATGCACGACTAAGAATGAGGTCTGCTAGAATTTCATAACCATCTGTTGAGTGCATTATTCAAACATTTTATGATTTACACTATAAAGTGTACATATAATCGTATAATGATCAGAATATTTTTTTTCTCAAATATAAAATAGGTTCTACCAACCATTTTTAGATCTCATATAACATATTTAAGGATGTACATCTGCAGAATCTTTAACTAACCCAAAGTACATATTACTGTATAGTCAGAAAATCGCATGATTGTAAACTAAAAGTGGTCCGATCAAATGAGACAAAATAGTTCTTAATTCAATATCATGGTGGACCTTCCCACTAAGTACCACTACTTGTATGCATTGCAACTACATTCCCACAAAACGATTGTAAACCAAGTTCGTATTTAGAGGTAGAATGGGTGCGTACACCCCGTAAGCGTATGTAAACACGTGTAGTGTGTTTGTAGGACGTGCGCGTGTTCCTGACTCTGTTCTGATTGATCAGTTGTTGAGCTACTTTACACTCCGTAAAAGTCCATTGAAGCTGATACATTGTGCTTAGAAATAGAAAAAGTGGTCATTAAGATCTACTTAATCGGTCCCTACTATGATAGTAATGTAATAGACTTCGTCTAGAGCTTAAGGTGATGCTAAAACTGGTACAGTACTTTTAAAGATGAGTTGTGGTAATTGATGTCGTCCCTGGTTGACTATTCGATGTCCATGCACTGCGCCCTCTGTGTCTCTGTTGTGTAATTATTTATTAAAATGAGTGTTAATTATTCAGAAATTTGGGGTTATTTACATTCAATAGTTTCATTCTATGCAGTAAAAACAATGCAGAACTATAATTAATGATGATGATGATATGATGATGCTATTTTACAGTAACTGAAATGGGGGTTATTTATTATTACGAGGACAGCCACTAAGAATTATTGATATATTTATTGTTGATTTTACTATTCGTATTGTGTTACCTGGCGTCTTGCAGAGTGGTTGATCATATTCTTGCATCTAATATTTCTTACGATCCATTTTCTTCCAGCTTCCTTAACCTGTAAAATGTGAATTATTATCAAACATTAAATGACGATTACCATTTAAAATCATTGTGTACAATAAGTAATCAAGTAATAGTAATAACAACCATATATAATTAATAATACTAGTGTAATAATAATAAATCATAATGTTATTACTAACCTCATTGTCCAGCAAGCAGCAAACCACAAATACGAACACTCCTTGTAATGAGTTTAAGATATTAAATAAGTAAACAATATATAGACTATCTGAACGAACGGCGAAGGGTCCCAGAATCCACGTCACACCAAGTATAGGAAGAAGTACGAAGCTTCCTCTAACAGCAGCCCTGAATAAAATGAATGCATATAATTATGTTGATGATTATTATAATGCTTGATACCCTCAATGCTCATACTGAGATGCTAGGCCAAATAGAAAATCTAATTATGCTTCCTCTTGCATTTCTTATTCACTTCCATATGGAAAATACTACATAAATCTCAAACATAGATCTACACATAGTCAATAAGTATGTGTATACATAATTCAGGTCCCCAGCTAATAGTTTTCCGTAACAGAACCGTTACGATAACGATAACGTAACTTCAGAACTACAGTAAATAACATTGCAATGTGGTGATCCTGTTAATTGTACGTGGTGAGCAGTTGACCTAAGTATCCTCTTTTACATATCTCGGTCATGTTCTTTCAAGTAAATCAACTGATGATGCTGACATAGCTGTCAATAGGGAGCTTTCGATTTGTGCGACGACGCGACGCTAAGAACGGAATCACTCATGCGTGATTGTCCTACCTGGCTTCCTACGTTCTCTGCATAAGTAGATTTGGCCAAATTGCGTTGCAGAATCTACTCGACGAGGTGACCTTAACGTTCTCGTGCGCAGATGACTTAATGACGTCATTACGTTCTACGTCCTACCAAAGAGTATAAATAGAACAAGAGAGCCAACAACGCTCATTGAGAGCGTAAAAAAATGATACGCCCTACGCAGCTAGTGTAGGACGCCAACTAACGCTTGTATGTTTTTTATTACCCAGTACTCCACCGCGCACGGTCGGTTTGTCTGTTCTCCACAAGATACTGTACTTTTGTTTTCTGCTTACTGAGTTTATAGCGGGCGTGCTTCTACCGCGCTGCGCAGCGCTGCACTAGGTAATAAAAAGAACATACAACCGTTAGTGGGCGTCCTACACAGGAGTGACGTTTTTACAAACGGGACTTTGCTCTCTTGTTCTATTTATACTCTTTGGTCCTACCGTCATCGTGCAATCGAAAGCTCCCTAATAGGTCTTTGTGTATGCGCGCGAACTCTCTTAAGAGGCGTTTTTGGGTCCGCACAAGGCGGATCCCAGAACCTCAGTGCTGTTCTTGTTAAGAACTTTAAAACCGTCCAGCGTCGCCAGTTTTGAACAAACGTGCAGGAGATTGTGTACACATAAACTAGAGGTAAAATAGAGGTTACCTCAGTTTAACGCACGGACTGGAGAATGGTCGCTCTTGTTATAACTGTATTGACCTGGTAAATTGTATGTTATTCTGGAGTTATTGTATGAACTTTTTTCGGTGGACCGACCGATCCATCAATCGATCGATTAATTAAATAACGTCATTTATCAACAACAACGTTCTGTGTATACTGAGTTAATATACGTTTTGTACATTATGGAAAAGTTTATATTTGGGGGCAGCGTGTTATATATTACCTTAACTGCTTATATTCCTTTTGAATCTTGGGTGGCTTCCTCAGCATTGATCCAGACCGTGTATAGATCACATAAATCATTTTACCCAGTACAATTATGTTCACCTGAAATATCAGAAACATAATTTATTAACTGTTATTACAAGAAGACAACTAGATTGACACACTTGTCTTACATAATTAGCATGGTTTTTATTTCCCCTTAAATAGATTCTTATATGGTAATGGTAATTTATATAGTGCATAATACAGTGTAATGTTTCTATGCGCTCTTTTACCCAGTGCCAAACAAAAAGAAAACAACAACAACAACAAAAAACAGGTACAAGAAAGAAACATTAAAATTGAGAAAAAAGATGAGCTTTATGTCCGGATTTAAAAAGAGCCAAAGATGAAGGTGACCTTATGAAATTTGATAAGCTGTTCCGCAACCTTGGTGGAGCAACAAATAAGGATCTATTCAACCGACAAAAAAACAAAAGAGAGTGGTAGATGGAACTGGATGATGTGAAGCAGACTGGGTTCCAGTCCCTAAATTGTGTCTTAATCAGTAAAAACTAAAACTATTATTTGGCACTAATGGCGTTCCATGTTACTTCTTTGCACCAATGGCATCATACTTGTTCTGGGTTGGTTTTTATTTCCATCAAAATTCAACAATATAACAAGTATCTCAACATAAACAACGCTGCTAGCGAACTCCGAAATTAACGCTTAGAAAAATCAACGAATTAGAGAATTGTGGCAAGTCCAGATGTGAACCTGAGTATGCGACTAAATGTAGTTAAGCGCAATTTGAGAAGGTCATCTATCTATATACGTTGCTCAATAGGTAGCCAATGTAGGATACATATTTGGGCGGAACACTGAATATTTAAAACGGGGCCACTGTGGTAAAACGGAAACAATCCTAGCATGGATAGACGTTTTGAAAACTTACCCCAGTGATTGCAAGGGCCGGAATCACAAGAGCTAAGCGACAGTGTCTGCTGAGCCAGCACCTAAATGCAAAAGTATTTCCATGTATTATTATCTTATTGTTACACACCGCCTTTTACATCAATGGTATTGCCATTGAAGCATCAATTAGTATCGAACGCCGTATTGGAAAATATATAAAAAATCTTATCTAAAACATATTGAAGAGACTCTAAGAAACTTTAAAATGCTGTGTTAGGGTGATATATTGAAGAGAAAATTGCAAGTGAAGCTATCGTATTGTTTAATTTATTTTACGAGACTTACTTTAATAAATATATGCATTACTTAAACAGAATGTACAACACGCAATTGTAAAATTAAAGTTCACAGAGAGAGCTTTTGATTGCACTACGACGTTCAAGATCTAGAACCTAATTACTTCACGTATAATTTACTGAGCTTGCAAGGAATCTGAGTTTGTGATGTCTAAATCTACGTTTTGCAGACAGCGCAAGACGGTCACGGATAAGGGAATCCGTTTTAGTGTCATCTAGTCGCGCAATCGAATGTTCCTTACATTAAAGAATGCTTACAAGTTTTCTGTCATATAGCAGTCGTATCTGATTGCAGCTACCAAAGTAACGATGAACGCTGGCATTGTGTAACACACCAGTATGTAGTGCTTCAACTTATATTTGTTAAGAGCGTTCTTGATCACTTTGACGACAAGGTAAATTGCTTCCGCAAGCATCCACATGAACATGCAGAGGAGTAGATAATGCAAGAGCATTGACACAATCTTACATGAAAGCTGAAGAGATAAATTCAAAAATAACTGGCGCAATCATTCCATATAGTGCACACTTCCGCCCTGTGTCTGAACACCAACAATACGCAGACAGTGTTATGATGAACAAAACTGCAACATACCTGGCACATTATTTTCTTGAGTGCTTCAGTATACCCTGAAGAAAATAATGGAACCGCCCGTCGTATTCAGGTAATTTAATTTCTTGAGTACGGTACTGCCTGAATACCTGAATACGAGGAACGATTCCATTATTTTCTTTTATACTCGAGGGTTAAATATCGTATTTCCCTGACCTTCACCTTGACTTTTGACCTTTTCTTCCGAAAATTTAATGGTGCCTTTCTTCGATTATCATGTACCATTCCACTGAATGTTATGACGATCCATTATTTTTGCGTAATCTTGCTAACAGACAGACATACAGTGGTTAATACATAACCTCCTTGGTGGAGGTAATATTTTTAATATGGCCAAAATCTTACCCAAACACTATACAAATATTATCAATTTTATTATATAATTATACAAATATTATTAACAATTTTAATATATTATTATTTTTGTTAATATCATCATCCTCATCATCATCACCATCATTGTTATTGTAAACTCATATAGGAGCACATACTAATGTTCTCTATGCTCTTTACATTGCAATATGTTCATAAGATTTATTGAATAATCATTAATCAATAATCCTGACATATATGTTTGTTGAAATTATACGGTAAGTAATACACATTTTGATTAGCTGTGACAAAGCGCACATAGTAATTTCGTTCTCTGTGAAATAATAGATCCAACAATCCTTACCTTATTCTCTGTTTTGTTAATGGCGGTGAGAAAAATTATGTCGACACCAATCATACAAATGATGAGGTTAATATGGATCTTATGACGCTTAGACTTCTTGTCAAGCCTTTGAAAAAAATCCAAATGATGATAAGAAATGAGGAAACATCTTGTTGGCAATAAATAAAATAAAATCGTATGATAACATCTTTGTCACTTACTCGTACATAATGTTAACCAAAAGTATAGAGTTTTGCCATTATGAGAAACATAAAATATACTGTTCCAATAATTATTCATCTTGTTGGTAATCAGTTTAAATTGTAGTATTAATGAATGTACATTAAAGATTAAATTGAATACTAAGCCAATAATCCACTCCGTATTAATCCCGATATGTTTATTGAAATTATACACATTTTGATTGGCTGTTGGCATAGTAATTTTGCTCTCAATGAAGTAATGGATTTCACGGAATTATTTTATCCAATTGTTAAACAACACACTACACTAATTTATATACCGTATATACATATATATTTCAGCTGCGAATACTAGAGTTATATTTGGCCTGTAGTATTAATGTATGTAGATTAGGAGATTAAATTGAATACTAAGTAAATAAGCCACTCCGTAATCTGAACTGCGCCTGCCCGTATCCAAGGCCAGTCGACATAAATCTATGCTGTGTGTATGTGGTGTATATTTGTTTATGTCGATTTAAAACTTGATGCAGGCATGTGAAGTTCAAACTACGAATTGGCTTATTGTTTTTATACGCGTATCATTGAAAGTTGATAACTTATTTGATTTTTTAAAATAAATATTTTAATGTTTTAATTGAAACTTGAAATTTGAAAGGTTTTCAGATTTTCTCTCAGACTGCAAGTCTTTAAGCAGCGTACAGACCTTAACACCATGTAGATCAGCAGATTGATTATCAAAGTCACAACCGACAAGCTTAGTCCAATAATTGTAATCCGAGAAATTAAGACTTCGTGATATGGGGGCAACTGTGAATGTTAACAAAATTTTAAAACAAGTAAAAAATAAACAATTATTAATAAACAAGTAAATACACTATTAAATATATGGTATATAAATTTATGACAGAATTATTTGATCTAATTTTGAACAACACACTACACTAATATATATATATACCGTATATACATATAGCCTATATTTCAGCTGCAATTACCAGAGTTATACCTGGCCTTTCCACAGCCCCACCTTGTCAGAGAGTATGCAAGTTTTGCGTTGAAGTGTATCGGGCTAGATAGAACCTGTGACAATACCCATAGGTCTTTGTGGACTACAGGTGTGAAGCTCGCTTTTTCAGCGAGAGGTTGCAGGTTCGAATCCCGCCAGAGACATTTCTACACAACTTTTAAGGAACCTTTTTAGTTGAATGGCTGTGCCTGATAAGTTCATAACATCATTTGTTCCTAAATGTGATCAGTGTTAATTGATTGATTAATTAAACAATTGCTATTTTCAATCTACATTGATTTTTTGCAATGCAATAACTATTGACTACCTGGTGATTTGATATCTGCACCAACACAGCAAAACTTGTAAGATGTGAACAAAAACAATGAACTATCTCATCTGAAACATTAAGTACTTCGCATCCCCTTATAGACCACTTGCTGTAAGTATTAATGTAACTTAATTATATATAAAGAGCTTTCCGACTTTCATACACAACAACAGTTTAAGGGGCAATGGATTTAGAAAAACGCCCGTGATATTTTTTTTATAATGTGATGATAATGGCGGTGATTATGCTGATGACATGATGATGGGGTTATAATGCATAATGCCGTTTATGATAGTGATTATATGTCATAATGATAACAGTGATACATACCATTTAGCTTTGTACGAGAACTCTATTAACAGAGGTTATGCACAGTAACGAAAGATAATGATGATAATGATGGTGATAGTTTTGACAATAATAAATATTACCATTATGATGCTGATGGATATTGATAAAATAACGTTTACCTGGATACAGTGTCATAAAAACCACAGACGGGCTTTTCGTCATAGTTCAATGATTTCTATAAAATAATAGCACGCATTACTATGATTGGAAACATTTTAAAAACATCTCAGAACAAACGTGTTCATCATATGACGATGATATACGTAGCAGATATTTGGTGGTTTAGATTCTTGGTAATTGTAATCCTCGGGATTTTTCCACGATCTTCACTACATAATGAGAACCACATTATTTTATTATCAAGTATGCTCCAATTAACATTGTAGGACAGGGTTGGCGCCAGTATTTTCCCGGG